ACGTACGTACGTACTACGTAACTACTAACGTAACTTAACTAACTAACTAACGTATACTACGTACGTACGTACGTACGTACGTACGTACGTACTACGTACTACTACTACTACTACTACTACTACTACTACTACTACTACTACTACTACTACTACTCTCTCTCTCTCTCTCTCTCTCTCTCTCTCTCTCTCTCTCTCTCTCTCTCTCTCTCTCTCACATGTACACTATATGGGGAAGAAGCGCCATACTAAGGGCAAAAGACAAGGCCCAAGGATCATTCTCGATCTCTTTATAACCTCAAGCTACGCAACACTGTCTTTCACGCAATGATGAAAAAGTCGGTTCTGCTTGTTTTTGTGACACTAAAAATCAGACTTAGTTTTTGTTTTGTTGTCGGCTAAATTCAGGTCTGGCTTAAATCATTGTGGATCATAATATCCGGCTATTGGGACTGTGACACTAAAAATCAGACTTAGTTTTTGTTGTCAGCTAAATTGAGGTCTGGCTTAAATCATTGTGAATCATAATATCCAGCCATTGTCCCAATAATGTAGAACATGATTTCGGCCTACATACCCCATGTAGTATTAGAAGGTCAACATCATATTAGATCACAATATCACCCAAACAAAAGCTTGTTTCTATCAAACAGAAATAGCTTCTCGCTAAGGTTGCAAATTAATCTTATGAGAAAGAAGACACCAACCTTATAGACCGTTTACGAAGGGGGTACTGAGGGGTTGATATATCCCTCCTTATTCTGCTAAACATGCAAATCACACAAGGATCCATAGGGATAAGAGCCTATCAACCATATCATGTGTACCATATGGATGTGCAGAAGCCTTGCTTCTTAGCTATGCCGTACCATGTTGTGTATGCATTATCTTCCCTCTATTCTTTGATTAGAAGACTGTCATCAAATCTTTTTAAAAGAAGGCTTGTTTCTATCAAACAGAAATAGCTTCTCGAATCTTGGGTGTGTCTCTCAGATAACAACCTTTATTTATGTCCATTTGATTCATTACCTCCTCCTTTACAAAATAGGGAAACAAATCCAGGCAATTGAACGACTATTTTCAAGGGGTCACTACAAGATCTTGGAGTAGTACAAGGCTCCCACTCTGATGAGCACACCACCCATGGGCCCCCCAGTTACCTTTTGAAAATGACAAGTACAATGCATGGGCTTATGCAGTGGTAGGTTTTCCTAGCTATGGAATACCTCATTGTCACCACCTGAAGTTTACCTTCAACTCACAGTCAATAAATAAAGGGAAAAGCTGACTCTCCACCTGGTGGCAGGCAAAGGAGCACAAACAAGCAGGGGAATTCTTAGAGGGTAGCATCCCATGTGAAATCCCCGGGTTCCATGTTTCATATTTTTCCATCTTTTCTTGTTTGACAAGCTAGGTGGGTTCGTTTACTTTTTATTTTGGATTTCATATGAGTCCAAATAGAAGGTCGTTTACAACTACCCAATCTCTTAAAACAATACCAACTCATTACAACTTAAAAGTTTGTCTATCATTAAGAAAACCTTTCTATTATACTTAAAATACAATATGCATATTGTCCAGGTCTCATAATATGACCTTCCCCAGCTCTGTAGACTTTGAGACATCCATGCCTTACCACATGCATATACAGAGCTATCCTTCAAGTGATGGACGCTCAGTGTTTAATGTATCCAAGCTTGATTCACCAAATACAGAGGTACCAGTCTAGTGAACCAAGTCCAGAGGTATCTTTATTCACCCAAAAAAAGTCCAGAGGTATCTTTTGAGCAATGTTCAAAAAAGCGGATGCAGGCGCCTAGTCGGCCAAAGGTGCTGGCAGACTAGGCAGCAAGGCGGCCGCCTAGGCAGACGCCTAGTTCAAAAGGCGGCCTTCTAGGAAACTTAGGGGCCTAGTCCCCAGGGGAGCTATTAAGAGGAATTTGGCTGCCTCTAAATTATCCGAGAAACTGTAATTTTCAGAAATATTAGTAAAACACATTGTCTAATTTGCTGATACATCATTCATAAATGCATTGATATATCAAATATCAATTACCAAATATAGAAATGCCATTTAATAAGATTGAGTTACCCAATCTTAGTAAAATGCCACTAAGCACAAAGAAAAACCCGCTATGACTTATGGGGCACAAATCCAAACATTATCTTCAAAAAAAAAAAATACAAGAATAAGAAACCAAAAAAGAAAATTAAATAGAAACAAACAATTTCGATTAAAATCCAAACATTAAGAAATAATCAAACAAACAATTTCGATTAAAATCCAAACATTAAGAAATAATCAAACAAAAACTTTCGATTAAAGTTTCAGAGGTTTCAATAAGATTGGGTTGACCCATCTCACTCAAATGCCATTAAACACAAACAATAACCCATTATGGAATTTGGCCTCACCATACCACCATAAATTCAAGATAAAAGTACAGAAAAAAATCCTAACAAAAAAAGAAATACACATTATTGGTCAATTGGTCCTTTTCAATCAAGCATACAAGAACATGCATACAATGCTAAACTTGAAGTTCTTGAACTAATTTTACAAAGGAAAAAAAAAAAAAAAACCAAAGAAAAAGGGGCACAAAAACCACTAAAGCAAATATTCATAAATGATAATATCATATAAACATATACCAAAAAATTGAAATATATGAACCTTTTTGATGTGCACAAGATCTTGGCTCAAATCGTTGCCCCACAAGAGCCAAAAATCCTCTATTACAACCAAATCGACCCACAAAAAGTATGGGGTTCATTGCTTTTCGATTTCACAAGAAATCAAAAAACTTTGAGAAAATTTTGAATCTTCAAAAAATTACAAACAAAATCGTTTTGGGGGTTTTTTCTCTCTCTAAATCAACCAAAACGCATTTCGGGGGTTTACAATGCCCCCAAAAAAAATTACAATAAAACCATGTTAAATATCAAATACAACATAATATTTGGAAAAATCCATTCCGAGGTTTTACAACTCCTTGAAGAAAACTCAACTCGCAAGGTCCCAAGGTTATGAAAAGCTAAGGTTTCAGTCAGTTTTTAGTTCTTAAATTAAATATTGGGGATCTTTATGAAAACATATTCTCAATTTTGTGGAGGAAAATGATTCCTGACAAAGCCTGGTCTCAAGTTTGAATCATGTTTTTTCCATTATTTTTTTCTTCTATAATTGAAAAACCCACTAAGCTTTTCACCAAAATAAAAAACTTAAGCAAGACACGGAGCTTTTCTCCAAAATCATAAACATAGGTGAGTTGATTCAAAGGAGAACAAGTACCATGTTCAAGTTTTTAAACACGAACTTGGATTATGAGTCTGAAACTTTCAGGTGGGAATGGTTAAGGGTAGATATTCTGCAACAAAAAGTTTCATGACTTAGATCCTGTTGGATGTTAAGCGCCAGCAGCACCTTGGTCTCATATTGACATAACTGTTATCTTTCCATTTAAGAGGTGTTAAAATCCTACTGATTCACCAAAAAGGAAACAAAATTAATGGTAATGGTGCTCAAAAAAAAAAAGAGAAACCACTTGAAAATAATTATGTCTCTTCTCAATACTTTGATCTGATGACATGGTATGCAACAGTTTTCTAAAACCCAGATAGAGTAGCCGACTTGGTCAGCCGCTTGGCCATTCCAGGTCAGCCGAATCTCTAGGATTAAATAACATAGAAACCAAAAGAATCAAAATAAAAAATTAAAAATGTTTGGACTTCGTGCAATTTTGGGGGTTCTGTAGACCCAGATCACCCGCCCATCAATAAACCAAATCGACCAATTCCAATCTGGATTGGGGATTTTTAAAGCCTCAATAAGCACAAAAGGAAGATTCATAGAATCAAAGACATATATAGCAATCTCTAACAGCTATTAAGTGTTGCACAAAAATGCATACAATAAGAGTCAAGCATTTGGGGAAACTAGAGAATTCATTTATACATGGCTTTCAAAACTCCCAAAAATCTTCCAATGTGGACTGACGTGGGGAGACAATTGAAACATAATGGAATGGCTGGTGTTCATGATTTGCTTAATCGATGAGATGACCCAATAAATTATATCCCAGTCTAAATATCTTCCAAGGAAAGCTCCAGATATTGAAATGAAAAATTCTTCAATGAGAGAGAAAATACGGAGAAGTGTATGGGCCGTTTATAAGTTACCCCTGAAACACTGATTAGATTCTTGGCAGATATAGATGATCCAAACAAGCGAGCTGCACTCTGAAGGAAAAAAAAAAAAGAACACAAACAAATTATAACTTCCAGACAAAGGGTTCACTTAGAGATTCAAGGGCACAAAAAGAAAGCTTGGATAGGAAATATAAATTTAGTTGAGATATCTATTTCACAAAAATATGTTCCATGATGCAGAATTAGCAGCAGATATCAAGGCATTGAAGAAGTTTGATTTAATAAATACAAAACTGTCCTCCAGAAGATGCCCCACACCATGGAGAATAATAATTTATGAAACAGTTTTACCATAAATACCATATAAATGCAAGAGAGTACAGGTTTTCTACAATGCATAAAACATAATAATCAAATGTAGAATATTAAAGGAAGTTATACAACAAACGTTGAAAGAGGGCCCTCTTAAAGTGCATCCCATGGTTGATAGCAGATGCAACCTAAAACACTGATTCCTATCCTTTGGCAGAACCATATAGAAGTCATATGAACTTTGACATACTTGTACTTGGATCTCTGAGATTAATACTTTAAATATAGCTGGGTCTACATGCAAGACTCTATTTGTAGATCAAGTTGCTGCCATGGTTATTCAAAAGAAGAAATCAATTGACACTCCTTTCACAAGTAATCTTGCCATAAAGATTTCTTAGTGAAACAGGTCATCATTCAAACAACTGGCAACCAATAAAAAATCACTGTAGTTTTCATAAGCAATTACTGTCCTTTAACTCTCTATCTAGAATTTGTCTCACAAGAAGTAGCATGCTTAAAGGACTGGAGCTTTCTTTCCATTTCTTGGTTGCATTTTGTGAGGAAAATTGATGAACTTCAATAAGATGAAAATAGTCTTGATACACAGCCCCTCGCAGCTAGCTATCTGCCCAAAGATTGACCCTCGTCGCATTCATGCCCATAGTCTTCAATTTAGCCAGCATTGAAGCTCAGGCCTAACCCCACTTTATGGCACATAAGAAAAAATTACGACCCAAAATAATCAACCAACCCCCAAACCTAAAGGCTAACATCAACAAAATGAAGAGCAATGAATTCCAAGTCCCATTCATGATAAAAGCCACTATTGACAAATCAGACCCATGTAACCCACCTCACAGTACACTAAGTAACGCGATCCAAACTAAAAGGTATAGAGGAGTTCACCCTTGAGCCTATAAATTATCCTTCGAGGCACCCCTAGATTAGGTGATTCAGCAACATGGATCACTACTAAAAGAACTTTTGGTTCTTGATTGTACTTGCCAAGTACTAAGCATTTGGCTATATGCTTCAGTTGCTAATTCCTAATTTCTTTGTAACAGTATCTATCATACTATGCTTGCTTGCTTCCTTACTTAAGTGCTAAGTATATTGACATCCTTTGTGTTTTGCTGAAATCAATGAATGGATTGGATCATTCTATTTACATGCCAATTATGTTTGAGAATAGAGATAGGGAAATATCTCTGGTACTCTATTAGTGAATCAGATAGCATATTTATTAGAGACAAATACTAAATTAAAATGCCTACTAACGTATAAATTACACATTCATAATATTCTTTGTATTCTAAAAAATTTTAGAGCAATTTATCAAAGTACCCAAGAAAGATGAATAACTTAACAATTTGCTTGTATCTTTTGATTTAATTCAAAATACTCATAGAGAAAACACATGGTGAATAGTGGCAAATGGGCAAAATGTTATTAACTTCATTGCTAATGGGTAGTTTGATAAATTGCCTAAATTTTATACAAATTTTGCACCTTTTATTCATATTTAGCGTCAACATATGAACTGATCCAGCCTCATCGAGGCACATAGTCCACCAGAACCCATAGCGCCTTACATGGCATCCGACATTTGACAAACTTGAACCATTGGTCTGGAGTCCAGGAGTTGGGGAGCACCCCATGTGCCATCCAAGATCTGATGATCCTTAAAGAAACTCTCTTCAGCTAGGCTGATAATAAAAGGCATGGTGGCTCTAGATCTTGTCTTGTACATTAGCAATGATATTATACAAAACTGCACTATAATGGCTGCATAATTTTTCCAATTTCCTCAAGTCTGTTCCAATCAGAGACTAAAAAATGTAGCAATGACTTCAACAAGCTTTGATATCTCTAGCGCAACTTTACACACAACCAATAATTCATTTTCCAAAATTCTTAAAAGAACACCAAGCAAAAGCTGTCCAACATTGAAGCTTAACCCAAAGATAAACTTAAAACCATCATCATCATCCAAGCCTTATTCCAATGATTTGGGGTTGGCTACAAGAGTCATGTTCCTCCATTTTTCATAGATTCAGGATTCTTGATAACATGTGGCAAAGTTTTGCATTAGCTGCCTACCTAACACAACCCACTTCCTCTGCCCAAGCTTGGGACGAGCTAAGGGAAAGTTTAAGGCCCTCACCCTTATTAGACCATTAGTTATATTAGTACTATAGTAAGTAATATATTATTTATATTAGTACTATAGTACCATATAATAAATTACTATAGTACTATTGTAATATACTATATGTGTAGTATTTTAGTATCACGATACTTCATCAACCTCATCTTTTGTGTGTGTTTATGTGTGTCTACAACAACACACACACACACACACACACACACACACACACACACACACACATATACATAGATACATATAATACTATAAACCACACCTCTGCATATGTATACATCCAAAGATAAACTTAAAACCACTGATTTTAATTCCACTATTATAATTACTATCCAGCAAAATGACATAATCCCATGATAATGAAAAGCTTGATTCAGTCAACCAGGGATATACCACCATTCGACCCATGTGTTCTTTTGATATAATTCACTATTTTGACCTCCCTATTCTCTTGAAAAAACAATCTCCCAACCCTAATGGTCGTAACATCATTTATCGTCAGTTCATCACCTCATGCTCCCATATTGGAAAAAGACCACTTTTCTATCCCTGGGATTAGGTCAAAACATCCTAGGATTTTCACGCCAACATTTTTCTTGTGTGACTAGGTTATGGTAAGTATCCAAAGATCAATGTTTTCCTCCACCTTCCTCCCATGGTTTATCATCTCCCCGAGCTCATTTGCATAATCCATTTCCGTACAGATTTATTTTTCTTGGGACAATATCTCCATGCCCCCCGAAATTAGAATCACTATCCTAGTATCCCCTCCAAACATCAAAATCACTGGCGACAGAATTCTTCGAAAAAAATTCTTCATACCTCCTAACTCTTGGCATTTTTTAACATTAACCCCTCATCTTTGCCTCAAATAAAAATCTTAGTCCCACTATTTTCCTTTTTATTCCCACCCCTTAACTTCCCAATCGTGTGTCACAATGGCTCTTAACCTCTCTCTCTCACCCCATCTTCTCTCTCTCTCTCTCTCTCTCTCTCTCTCTCTCTCTCTCTCTCTCTCTCTCTCTCTCTCTCTCTCTCTCTCTCTCTCTCTCTCTCTCTCTCTCTCTCTCTCTCTCTCTCTCTCTCTCTCTCGTCTCTCTC